GAAGAGGGAAATTAAGGCTTTGGCAGATTTATTTATATGTATAGTTATGTATATATAGATATATAAAACATTTTATATTTTTAATTTAATTTTATACTTTTATTGTTTGTAAGCCACCCAGAGTCATTGTGAGTGTATGGTGGCCATGTAAATCTTCTAAAATAAATAAATGAATCTTATGTCGTCAAGTTTCATGATCAGAAATCCTTGAGCAAGGATTAAAGCTGCCAAAGCGTTAATTTCTCTCTTCTCTTGGCAGTTGCCATATGCACCCGCAGTGAGATGGAGGACTTCCTCAGTGAGGCCGTTTGCATGAAGGACTTTGACCATCCCAACGTCATGAAACTGATCGGTGAGGGACAAGGAGGTCTCTTCTTGTGTGCCCGGTTTCTTGCAGATATGTGAAGCATCCATGGTTTCCTCCTTCTAGCACAAATCTCTATGGTCTCAACAAAACCAACCATAGAGAGCAGTCAACAAGGCCAGTTATAAAAAGTGGTCAACAAGGTCAACCATAGAGAGTGGTCAAGAAGGCCAATGTCAGAGAGTTTTCAACAAGGCCAACCATAGAGAGTGGCCAACAAGGCCAACCATAGAGAGTGGCCAACAAGGCCAACCATAGAGAGTGGCCAACAAGGCCAACCATAGAGAATGGCCAACAAGACCAAGGAGCACAGAGGGTGAAGCAATGATACAAAAAAGAGCAGAAGAAACATTTTATATATATATGAAAAAAAGAGAAAGGGAAGGAGAGAGAAAGAGACAGATGCATTTGCAGGGGCCCAGTGTTCCCCAATCTTGGAGCCACAAAAAGAGGATGAATGTAGATCTGCCAATCCATACTTGGGTAGGATCACAATTTCTGTGAGCCCCAACCCATCCTGAAGACAGCTAAGAGTATAGGAAAATGTTTATCAATTTCCAACAATGTTCAGAAGTGTGAACTTCAACTCAGAGCAACTGGTCCCTTCCAGCTCTATTCTAATTCTAATTCCATTCCCAGAATCCCCCAGCCAGCAAGTAGGAGTAGCAGGAGAAGTAGGACTTGGAGTAAGGTCCGGGTGTCCATTGCCCTTTCTGGAGATAGTTAATTACCTTGTTCGTCACCTTTTCTGCAAAGGGTCTTTAAAGAAGCTATAAGAAGATTCAAGAGGTGGCACACCTGCATTTTGACAACCCAAAACTCTGGATGAAATTTGTCCAGAATGTTACAGGGTCTGTTTGAGCAGGAGGTTGGGCTAGACGACCTCTAAGGTCACTTTCAACCCTATTGTTATTCTATGTAATAAGCTCCAGTCCAAGCAAGCTAACTGGGGAATTCTGGGAGCTGAAGTCCATGCTTGCTAACTGGGGAATTCTAGGAGCTGAAGTCCATGCTTGCTAACTGGGGAATTCTGGGAGCTGAAGTCCAAGCATGCCAGCCATTGGTGGGATTCAAAAATTTTTTTTACTACCGGTTCTGCGGGCATGGCTTGGTGGGCATGGCAGGGGAAGGATACTGCAAAATCCCATTCTCTCCCCACCCCACTAACCTGCTTTCCAGCTCCGTTCTCCTGTGCAGGCCAACCAAAGAAGACCCAGCCAATCAGCTGGGACTTGGGAGGCGGAGCATAGATGGGGGTGGGGCCAGTCAGAGGCTGGATTTGCTGGTTCTCCGAACTAATTTCCGCTAACTAATTTCCTCAAAATTTCCACTACCGGTTCTCCAGAACTGGTCCGAACCGGCTGAATCCCACCTCTGATGCCAGCTGGGGAATTCTGGGAGTTGAAATCAAGCATACTGACTGGAGAATTCTGGGAGTTGAAACCCTCACACCTTAAACTTGCCAAGGTTGAGCAATGCTGCTCTAGCGATTCCAACTCGCCTTGAGCACGTCAGCTTACCTAACCTCTTTTCCTTACGGCCTGCCTCTCCCTCTCCCTTCGTCTGCGTACTTCCTTCTCTCAGTAAATTCCCAGACTGGGATTGACATCCAATCGTGGGCCAGATTTACAATTTCCAGCATGGGGCGGAGAGCGGAGAGGGGGGGAGAGCAGGCCAACCCAGACAGACCTGCAAAGCTCACCTTTGCTCATTCCATCAGGGGCAAAAAATAATAATGTTTAGCTGGAGAAAAAAAATAATGTTTAGATGGAAAAGAAAGGAAACTGCCTGGGCTTTGGGAAGGAGTTGGGGAGAGAGAGAGAGAGAGAGAGACTGGGCTGGGGAAAAGCAGAAAGGACAGACTGTCCCCTGGGGGGGAATGAAGCTGTGAGCGGGAGGGATGAGACAACATTATTTGGGAAAACAGATGTTGGCAAGATTGTGGGACGGAGCTGACAGACGGGTGGGCGGGAAGCTCAGCTAATGCAACTCAGGCTTGTTTTGGGGTTTGGAAGGCAGACAAGTGGGACCTTCTCACTCAGTTTTTCCCCTCCTCTTTTTTTTTCTTCCCCCTGTCCCTTTTTTTCCCCCCTGCCCTCTGTTTCCTGTTAAAGAGGATCACTGTCAAAATAACATTAGGGTTGCATCCATTTTGGTCGGCTCAATTTAAAAAAGATGTTGAGGCTCTCTAGAAAGTGTGCAGAGAAGAGCAAAGACAATGATTAGGGGACTGGAGGCTGAAACCTATGAAGAACGATTGCAGGAATTGGGAATATAATAGTTTAATGAAAAGAAAGACTGGGTGGTGGTGGTGGACATGATAGCAGCGTTCCAATATCTCAGGGGCTGCCCCCAAAGAAGAGGGAGTCAAGCTATTCTCCAAAGCACCAGAAGGCAGGATAAGAAGCAACGGATGGAAACTAACCAAGGAGAGAAAGCAGCCTGGAATTAAGGAGAAATTGGCTGACAGTTAGGATAATTAAACAGTGAAAGGGTCAGTTTAGGATCAGGAAGGGAAGGAGAAGAGCTTCTTGTAGCTTTCCCCTGATCCTTTTAAACGCTTTTCAACAGGTTTGCAATGAACCTCAGCTGAATAGATCTAGTGTAGCATGAAAATCACCCATCTGGATTTGTTTTATTATTATTATTATTATTATTTTTGAGATTCGTGGTGCTGAACAATTTCGTGGTGTGTTTGTGAACCACAATACCTGGTCTCACACGGCATGCTAAGTGCAAATGAATAAACCATAACAATCATGGTTTCGCGAGAGGGAAGCCAGCCCCTTCCTTTCTCTTCTGTGTCAGTCTGTCTTTCTTTTGATCAAAGATAATATTTGTAGCTCAGGGTTGAAATGAGGAGTCGTTGGTGCCCTCTGAGCTTGCTTGTTTTCTTGCAGACGTTTCATGACCCAGCTAGGTAACATCATCAGGGCTAGACGGGAAGGGGGTTTCCGGAGGTGAAGAAGGGGAGGAAAAAGAGGAAGGGTGCTGAGGGATTGTCTCTGAGTTTGGCTGTTTTCTTGCAGACGTTTTCATGACCCAGCTAGGTAACATCATCCGTGCTCAGTGATGTTACCTAGTTTGGGGTAATGAAACGTTTGCAAGAAAACAGCCAAGCTCAGAGAGCACCAAGGACCCCACCGTCTTCTTCTGCTTTAATTTAGAGAATTTACAAATGTCCTCTTTCCCTCTCCTGAAGGCGTCTGCCTGCAGAACACAGAAAGCGAAGGCTACCCGTCCCCTGTGGTCATCCTGCCATTCATGAAACATGGAGATCTACACAGCTTCCTGCTGTACTCGCGGCTTGGGGAGAGCCCTGTGGTAAGTAGCAATCTTGCAGGATCATTGATTCTTAGCCCTAAAACAATGGACCGTCTTAGTTGTCTTAGTGGACAACCAGCTATCTATGAGCCAACAGTGTACAGCAGCAGCCAAAAAGGCCAATGCAATCCTAAGTTGCATTAACAGAGGGATACAATCAAGATCAAGGGAGGCACTAATACCACTCTATAAAGCCTTAGTAAGACCACACCTAGAGTACTGCATCCAGCTTTGGTCACCGCGTTATAAAAAAGATGTTGAGACTCCGGAAAGAGTTCAGAGAAGAGCAAGCAGGATGATTGGGGGACTGGAGACTAAAACATATGTTACAGGAACTGGGCATGGCTAATCTAGGGAAGAGAAGGACATGATAGCAGCCTTCCAATATTTGAGGAGATGCCACAGAGAGGAGGAAGGGGTCAAGCTATTTTCCAAAGCACCTGAAGGCCAGACAACGATCAATGGATGGAAACTGAACAAGGAGAGATTCAACCTGGAAATAAGGAGAAAATTTTCTGACAGCGAGAACAATCAACCGATGGAATAGAAGTTGCCTTCTGAAGTTGTGGGAGCTTCATCCCTGGAGGCTTTCAAGAAGAGACTGGACGGCCACCTGTCAGAAATGGCGTAGGGTCTCCTGCTTGGGTGGCGGGTTGGACTAGATGATCTAACAAGGCCCCTTCCAACTCTGTTAATCTGTTAAATCAGATGATAGCCTAGTCCTTGTTGGTGTCTTCCGATTGTCCCAAAGGTGCTTTTTTCAAAAGACAACTGGACTTTCTTGGTTTTTCTTTGAAAACGTTTCACTTCTCATCCCTGAACTTCTTCCCCTCTGACTGGATGGTGGAGAATGGAATTCTTCAGTCCGAACCGAAGAAGCTTCTGGGATGAGAAGCGAAACGTCTTCAAAGGAAAACCAAGGAAGTCCAGTTGCCTCTTGGAAAAAAAAGCCCCTTTGGGACCACCAGGACCTGGAGGGAATCTCCATAGACGCTCCTCTGATTGGGTTCTTCTTCCTTCACAGTACCTGCCCATGCAGATGTTGGTCAAATTCATGGTGGACATTGCAAGTGGCATGGAATACCTCAGCAGCAAGAACTTCATTCATCGGGACCTCGCTGCCCGCAACTGCATGTGAGTTTCTACAGGGGGGGAACCCTAAAAAGGGGGATTTAGAAGCAGGGATCAGCAGTGAGGCCCCACCAGGATCCAGTTCGGCACCATCCAAATTTGGAGGTCTCAGTTCTCAAACTTTCCCAGCCTTTGCTGAGAATTCTGGGAGTTGAAGTCCAGGCGCTTCTTGGCTTGGGGTGCGCGACGATGTCATTCAAGCTGTTTGAAAGGGTTCCTTAAGTGTCCGATGTAAGAGTTCAGCAGGGATGTTGCTATATGTCATGCATGTGAATACTATTTTTATGATAACTTATTTTCTTTTTATCTGGTTTACTTTGATCTCACCTTTATTATTTTTGTAAATAAGTCAAGGTAGCCAGCGTTTACTCCTTTCTCTTCCTATTTTCCCCACAAAAACAGCCCTGTGGGAGTCGGCTGGGAGGGAAAGATTGGCCTAAAGTCACCTAGCTGACTTTCATGCCTAAGGCGGGACTAGAACTCACAGTCTCCTAGTGAATGGCCCAAGGTCACCCAATTGGCTTTCATGCCTAAGATGAGACTAGAACTCTCAGCATCCGGTATTGTTCCAAAGTTACCCAGCCTGCTATTTTGCCTAAGGCAGGACTAGAACTCACAGTCTACTGGTGATTGGCTCAATTTTACCCAACCGGCTTTCACGGCTAAGATAGGACTAGAACTCACAGTCTCCTGGTGATTGGTTGAAGATCATCCAACCGGCTTTCATGGCTAAGGCAGGACTAGAACTCACCATCTCCTGGTGATTGGTTGAAGATCACCCAACCGGCTTTCATGGCTAAGGCAGGACTAGAACTCACAGTCTCCTGGTGATTGGCTCCATTTTTCCCAACCGGCTTTCATGGCTAAGGCAGGACTAGAACTCACCGTCTCCTGGTTTCCAGCCTGGTGCCTTCACCTCTTAACCAATCCGACTCAGAATCTTGTCAGTCTGAGTGCGTTTCCTCCCTCTATCTTCATGAGAACTGACAACGGTCTTGTCTGGGACGCTTCCTCAGATTGAGTTTCTGCCCTGGGCTCAGATGTCTTTTATCTGAGCCTTGTCTCTGGTGGTTTGCTCCTTCTGCCTGTCACACGGTCCCCTTGTCCTCACCCTTCAAAGCCTTTCCTTCAAGAGCCCTTCGCCTTCCCTCCGCAGGCTGAACGAAAGCATGACGGCCTGTGTGGCCGACTTTGGCCTCTCCAAGAAGATCTACAACGGTGACTATTACCGCCAAGGTCGTATCTCCAAGATGCCGGTGAAGTGGATCGCCATCGAGAGCCTGGCCGATCGCGTTTACACCACCAAGAGCGACGTGGTGAGTCTCCACCAGTAAATCGGGCTAACTTTCCGTTCCCACTGGAAACCAACTTCCAATCTCTCCACTGGGAGCATGTGGGCTCCACCTGGATTACAGATTTCTTCTGCCTCCCTTATCTTCTTTCTTCCAATCTCTGCCCTGCAGTGGTCCTTTGGAGTCACCATGTGGGAAATTGCCACTCGAGGCCAGACGCCTTATCCCGGGGTGGAAAACAGTGAAATTTACGACTACCTACATCAAGGCAACCGCCTCAAGCAGCCGATTGACTGCCTGGATAGCCTGTAAGTACAGTATCTCTGCCTCAGTTTCTCCTGTTGTCAAGAAATATAGGCGTTCGCATTTCCCTACCCTGGATCTGACTCAAATGTTGTTTGTATAAGGGGCCAAGAGATAAGTACCTCGATCCATATATTAAACGTACGGCCCAGTGGGAGGCCCATATTAAAACAATACATACCTCATGTGTGGCCATATCAATGATGCATAAAGGCAAATATCTCTTCAATGGTAGTCTTTACATTCTGATGATGTTAGCAGAGGCTCACAAAAGTTAAGTGGATAATATAGTTTAAGTTCCAGATATTGTCTGTCTCTTCTTTTAGATAGATAGATAGATAGATAGATAGATAGATAGATAGATAGATAGATAGATAGATGGATGGATGGATGGATGGATGGATGGATGGATGGATGGATGGATGGATGGATAGGTGTAGATGTAGGCGTAGGTGTAGGTGTAGGTGTAGATGTAGATGTAGTAACAGTTGTTACAACAACTGTAAAAGTCTGACTCACAACACAATACAGAAGCCTGATGATGGCAGATGAGATTCTGCCGAAACGTTGCTACAACTTTAAAAGCACAACTATAATGACGTGGGAAAATACCCGAACAAAGCTGAATACCATACATACATACATACATACATACATACATACATACATACATACGAGAGAGAGAGGTAGATGTGTGTGTGTGATGCCCCAGGGTGGGATACAAAACAAACACAGTCACAGAAAACAGGTGAAGCCCCTTTTATTCCTTCACTTTGCTTCCAAACTCCAAATATCCTTGATGGAATCCAAAAAACTCCCACACACAGTTACAAGAAGAAGGGAAAAAGCAACACAAATCAGGCAAGATAAGGGCTGGAGGACGTCCACAGATAACACACACTGAACCATAAACTAGAGATATTTCCACGCTTTGTTTCCAGCACTTGCCCGTATGCATGTCTGTCTTCTTATCCAGTTGTCACAGCTGCAGCCCATGAAGGGGATCAAGGCCCTCTCCTCCCCCATAGACCACATCTCTCCTTTATCCTCTCCTCCCTGCGTGCCCTAGGATGGAGAGGGGATGGGTCTGGGTCCTCCTCTGACTGCTCAGCCGGCCTCTGCCCTTCCCCAGCCTCCTCCACAACCTCCGGAGCCACACTTTCACTCCCTGTCGTCTGTTCCTCCTCTCCCTCAGAGTCAGTCTCCATCAGGGGCATGACAGTGTGTGTGTGTGTGTGTGCGTGTGTACCACCTAGGTTTGGCATCCTACTCCCAGAAACTTTGGAAAGAAACCAGAGGAGAAGCAATACAGTTGGGGTGAGAGGAAGGGACATAGCCAAAATTTGGGCGTCAAGGGAAAGAAAAACATTTGTGGGGTCCTTGGTGCTCTTGGAACTTGGTTATTTTCCTGCAGACATTTTGTTACCAAACTAGGTAACATCATCAATGCAAGAAGGGAGAAGGAGGGGAGGAGGAGAAATATTGCAGGTCCTTGGTGCTCTCAGAACTTGGTTGTTTTCATGCAAACGTTTCATTACCCGACGAGCTAACATAATCAGTGTTAGAAGGGAGTGTTTGTTTTCTATTTATAAGCCCCACTTCCTTCTAGCATGCTGGCTGGGGAACTCTGGGAGTTGAAGTCCACAAGTTGTAAAGTTGCCAAGATTGGTGACTCCTACTGCAGATTCCTTCTCCAGAAACCACGTCTCCATCTTCTTGTCCTTCTCCACCGCTCCCCTCATCCTCTCCTCTCAGGTATGAGCTGATGACGAGCTGCTGGGCGCTGAACCCCCGCGACCGCCCCACTTTCGAAATCCTGTCTGAGGAGCTGGAGAAGACCCTCAAGTCACTCCCACCGCCCAAAGACCCCGAGGAGATCCTCTATGTCAACATGGACGATGGCGTGGCCCCCGCCGAGGTGGAGCTGGGCGCCGTGGGAGGCCTGGGGCCCGAGGAATCCCTGGCCAAGGAGAGCCAGCTGCTGAAGGCCATGGTGACGTCCGCCGAGGTGCACCCGCCACAGGCCATGGGCCGCTACGTGATGTGCCCCACTCCCCACGAGAACAGCCGGCTCTTGAACGAGGCCCTCAGCTGCGCCGCCACTGAGGAAGGGGCCTAAAAAGGGAAGATCTGCAGACCCCTCCATTGGGTGTTTATGTACCCAATTGGAAGGCACCCTGTTTGGTGACACCCCCCCACCTCTCTGCCCCCAAGAGGGGGCTTCCAAAGACAAACCTTTGAGGCCCATGGACATCCTTCACCCGAGGGATCTCACTCCCACCTGACTCCGCTGACCTGCGCCCACAAATTGAGGTCCTCCTTACCTGTTCCAGTTCACCTGGGCCAGAGTGGGTTTCCAGCAGGCCACCCCTTGCGTGGGTCTCATCGTCGCCCCCTCCTCTTCTTTCTCCCTCTCTAGGCCCAGCATTCCTTCTTGCTCCCCTTCAAGGCAAACCCACGGACTCGGAGCGGATGCCAAGACGGGGTACGCGACAGAGTCCTTTTCGAGAGCCGGTGGGGAGGGGTTAACGTGGCAGGATAGAGGTTGCCTCCCCCTCCCCTCCCGTCCTCTCTCCCACTTCTGAAGGGAAGAGACCCACCGGATCTCCCTTTGGCTGCCTTTCTCCCCTTCCCAATTGTCACAACCACCATCTTCTACTCCTTTGTGCTATTTATTACGCAAGCAGCCCGGTGCAGAAATTGCTCTGAGCTGTGGTTTGCTCCATCAGAATGAAAAAAAACCAAACAAACCACAATGTTAAATTTTCCCAGAAGTCATTTTAAGTTTATACACCTTCCAATAATGGGCTAGATTCACCTGCTGTTTTGGGCCACTCTTCTCTTAACGCTGTTGGTCTTACCGGATGGCTAATTGGCTCTGATGTCACTCTAAGCCATGTTTTTTTTCAACCATGGTGACTCAAAGGTGGGTGGACTTCAACTCCCAGAGTTCCCCAGCCGGCAGAAGGTAGCATGGCCAGCTAGGGAATTCTGGGAGTTGAAGACCAACCATATCCAAGTCGCCAAGGTGGAGGAATATTGCCCTCAACCGTAAATCATGGTTTACAAAAGCATAAATACGGTTTACCAAAAGGCTGGGTTTGTACAGCGTGTTTAAGTCAAAATAAGATACGTTAGGATGTAAGCTAATCCTGTTCATATTAGGGTGCAAACCCAGGCATCCTGTCTGTGAAGGTTTGGGGGGCAAATTTTACTCTCTAAATGTCCTCCATGAGTGATATTCCCCCAACCCAGTAAACTAAAATCTCTAGAAGTTGCATTCATACAACCAGCTAAGCTTAGATTGTTTTAACCTAAAGAGTAGGGATTTGTGGATGTCTGCATTAGTGGGTCCAAACCATTTAATTTGTTCTGGGGCACTGTCAGCAGTGGTGGGATTCAATTTTTTTTTACTACCGGTTCTGTGAGTGTGGCTTGGCGGGCGTGGCTTGGCGAGTGTGGCAGGGGAAGGACACTGTAAAATCCCCATTCCTTCCCCACCCAACTAACCTGCTTTCCAGCTCCGTTCTCCTGTGCAGGGCAACAAAAGGAGACCCAGCCAATCAGCTGGGACTTGGGAGGCGGAGAATAGATGGGGGCAGGGCCAGTCAGAGGCGGGATTGGCCTGTTCCCTGAACTACTCAGAATTTCCGCTATCGGTTCTCCAGAACCAGTCCGAACCGGCTGAATCCCATCTCTGTCACTATGTGAATCCCACCCAAAGGTTAATTCAGTAACCAGATGAAGGACGTTGTGTGAACGCAAGCAAGCCCCAGGTCGGCCTTTTCCTTCCGTTCCTCCCAATGGGAATACAGGTAGCCCCTCGACTTAAATGACTGCCATTGAGCCCCAACCTTTCCGTCGCTGAGCGGATTTTTCACCCTCCCATTGTAGCCCCTTTCTCGCCACACACTCGCCGCTGCCGTCGTTTAAATTGGCTGTTAAGCGAATCCAGTCGATTTTGCTGGTCAGACGGTCGCAAAGGGAGACACGGCGACTGTCATAACTAGGAGTCCGCGGCCAAGCATCCAAATTGACCACGGGAAGGCTGCCACGGTTATATAAGTGTGAAAAATGGTCATAAATCACATATTTCAGCGTGGTTGTAACTTCAAATGGCCGCTAAGCAAATTATTGTAAGTTAAGAGCTATATGTACTCCGTAGCTTGCTCCCTCTGGTTCCTTACCCCCTTCCTAGTTTTATTTCCAGCTGTTTCACTGCCACGATTCTCTGCTCATCACCCTTGACTTGACACCAAGGACAAATGAAAAGAGGGCATCAATCCAAACCTGAGATTGAATGGAGCAGAGTAATACTTTTTTTTTTTTTTTTAATCAGGTGAACTTTTATATCCCGGGTGCTTCTCAATAAATATTTCTGCCCCCCCCCCCACACACACACATCTGGCTCTTGAACTGAATTCCCAAGAGGAACATTCAGATTGTTCTACTCTCATGGCAACTTCAGGGTTTCTTCCATTAGCTTATGCGATTCTTGAGACGACTTGCCGGCATTTTATTTCAGCCATACCTGAACAGTGCAAAAGCTGATCTCTGGGGAGACCAAGGATCCTCCTCCTGCAAAGACAAAGGGGGGGAAAAAAAGCCAGAACAGAAGAACAAGAGTTGGAAGGGATCTTGGAAGATCTTCTAGTCCAGCCCTCTGATCTCTTCTTAAAGGCCTCCAGGGCCTACCCAGATGAGGACTTCAAGATGGTTAAAAAAATACGTTCCTAACCCCTCCGTTCTTCTTTGCTGTGAGGGGGGGGGGGAGGTTTCTTCCTGGAAAAGCCTCGAACCTTCAACAGCTGCAGGAAGATGGAAATAATCACCAGCATCAGTTCTCCTTTGCCGTTTTGCTGTCCTGGGGAAAAAAACCTAACCTGCGCAATCCTTGCCAAATGGTAATAATCTTACCCGACAACTTGCATGTAGCCGATTGTGTCATACAAAGCAGTAATTTCTCAGTCTTGGCATCTTTAAAATGTGTTGGGTTTCAGCTCCCAGAATTCCCCAGCCAGCATTGACAGACTGGGGAATTCTGGGAGCTGAAGGCCACACATCTTAAAGCTCGCTAGCATCCTGGCTGGGGAATTGTGGGAGCTGAAGTCCACACATTTTATAGGTGCCAAGGCTGAGAAACCCAGCCCCACAATGGGGGGGGGCTGTTCTTTATCCCCGTTGTGAGGAAACACAACATTTACGAGCAAATGTATGGGCAGCCACCGTATCTTCGGACTACTGGTTACAGACCACACCTAGAGAGCAGCATTTGGCCCATTTGCTAATCTAGTTAGTTTGGACTTTGGTTTGGCTGTTTGGGGATGGGGTGATCCTTGATTTGTAACCCTCAAGCCTTTTGAAACTGAAACTAACTGACTCTTGTTTGAAAAAGTGGTTAACGTAGGCACCGAGTTAAGGTTTCCACATACAGCTAGGTGGGCCCAGGCCTGATTTTAGTTACAGCAGTTCCAGTCTCAGAAATTATTTTCCTACCTGGAAAATAATAAAAAGGGGTGCAGCCTGGGAGAGGGGTTGCTAAGAACAAAAGGGGGGGGGATTGGCATCCCACTCCCCAATTTTATGTCACTCAACAGCTTCATTTTTTTCAAAGTGAGAGTTGCATCCCTGGTTCCGTGTCGAGTTTCAGCTTTGGACAAGCAGATAGAATTGTGCAATGCCAACCTCTTTGAGAAAACTCCTTCCCTGCCGTTGAGTCCTATTTTCCGGGACTTTATTCCAGCTGCAAAAATCATATTTTCCATTCTACTTGCCAGTATGCATTGATGCAATCTTGCCTTCCTTTTCGGGGAATCTGTAAGGAACGGCCAGATTGGAGAAAGGAGGTGTTTTCTGCTGGTCTAAAAAGCAGGGCTGTCTAACCGTGGCCATTTAAAAACCTGTGGACTTCAAATCCCAGAATGCCCCAGCCAGCATGTCTTAAACCCTGCCCCCCTTTTTAAACATGCAACACACCTCCTTACTCTTTTGACGTTCCTTGTACCTGTTGTGTTATTTGACATTATCTGCTATTACATTAAGATTACAGTCTATCGAGCTGACGTGCACACAGCCCAGTGAATTATTTTCCTTTAGATTCTTATTAATGATTTTTTTTATATATATTATATAGATAAATAAATATATATATAAATGTATATACTTTTTAAAGAAAAAAAATGCTGTATATGAAATGGTTTTTTTCCCCCATTCATTACTTTTGTAAAAATGCATTTTCCACTCAGGTCTGTTTTTAGAGAATGCTCTGTGGTATATTTTTGCTTATAAATAAAAACTTTCTTTAAAAAAAAAAAAAAAATAACAGAGGCGATAATCTGGTCCTGAAGTTTTAATTGCTCAGGGGGCAAGGAAGTTATGGGGAGGGGTGGGGAAGAAGGCTTGAAACATGCACTGAGTAGTCCTCGGCTTATGCCCACAATCGGGACCACAAATTTCCCTAGCAAGTCAGTTGTTAAATGAGTCACGCCCAATTTTACAACCGTTGTTTTTGCCATGGTTGACCCCCTCTTCTTTGTGGCAAACCCGTTAGCTATTCCAATGCTGCTATTATGTCACCCCAGTTTTTCTTTCTTCCAGTTCCCTCAATTGTGCAGCATGCAGTTTAGCCTCCACACCCATGATCATCTTTGTTGCTCTTCTCTCCACTCAGGGGTCTTCAAACTTGACAGCTTTAAGAGTTGTGGACTTCAACTCCCAGAATTTCTCCTTCAGTCATGTTAGCTCAGGAATTCTGGGAGTTGAAGTCCACCCGTCTTAAAGTTGCCAAGTTTGGAGACCCTTGTTCCAGGGTCTCAACATCTCCATTGGTAGCTGAGCTGGGAAGCCTTGCTTATTCTTAAAAACCAATGCAATGTGGATTTTGATCGCATGATTGGGGAGGATGCTGGAGCAGTGAAGGCACCAATGGAAGGGACCAATGCAATGTGTATTGGAAGCGGGGTGGGTGGGTGGGAGGAATAATCCCTTGTTTTCCCCCTCTCCTTGCCAGGCAAATGCACCATCAATAGGCACATTCAAGACGGCTTCCTAGAACTATTCTTGAATCCAGCCCAGCAAGTCAACAGAGAAACAAGGAAGTCCATTTAGCAAGGGGGAAACTCTCGTCTCCCCCAAACACATTCCTCTTAATCGGGGTTGAACTCTTTTCCAGTCAGCCTCAGAGTCCTTAAAGGGGGATTTTCTGTTTCTCGGACTGTCAATGGGGAAGTAAGATGAGTAGGAAACTTGAAAAGGAGAGGAAGTGAATACATACAGAATAGGGAAATAGGGAAACAGGATTTACTTTCAATCGATACATCCGTTTCAGTCAGAGGTGTGCGAAGGGCATGGTAAAATAAAAAATAAAAAAATCAACATGGTGATTAAGACACAAATCCCAATCCTCCTTCACTTGAAGGAAAAGGAATGGGCCCTAACCCAGTTTGGTCGGTCGGTTGGTTAGGTGCTATCAAGTTGGTGTTAATATTTAGTTACCACATAGATTAAGGAGGTCTCCAACTTTGGCAACTTCAGAACTTGTAGACTTCGACTCCCAGAATTCCTTAGCTAGCATGGGTGGCTGAGGAATTCTGGGAGTTGAAGTCCACAAGTTTTAAAGCTGCCAAAGTTGGAGACCCCTGACATAGATTTTCTGTAAGAAGATATATTTTCAACCTGGTCTTTTAAAGGGTCTCTCAGGGTTCATTCACTGCTGCTATAATAAAGTCTATCCATCTTGCAGCTGGTGGTTTCTTTCCAATTTACCCAGAATTACAGGATTCTTACAGGAGCTGGATCTTTGAATCCTGAGCTCAATATAAGGAGCTGTGGAGAGCTCCAATTATCCCGAGAAAGGTTTTTAGCCTGAAGAGGACAAAAATCAGATTGGAAATATCTCATTGCTGGTCTGGCTGTTACGATGCTACCCTCTGGTGGTTAAATTTCTGCAATGTAGAAATACTCAAATTCCATATTTCTCAACTTCGGCAATTTTAAGAGATGTGGACTTCAACTCCCAGAATTCCCCAGCCAGATGCTGTGGGAGTTGAAGTTCACAGCTCTTAAGGTTGAGGTACAATGCTCTTAAGATTCAGTCTTCCCAAATTTACACCACCAGATGTGTTGGAACTACACTTCCCAGAATTTTCAGACAACATAGCCCCAGTGCTTAAAGTGATATATCAACTAGCATCATCGTTTTGTGCTAAGCATTGTCAACTAGAAAGCTGTGGTTTATTATTAAATCATGGTTTAGTTTGTAGAAAGTTAGCACCCACCCCTCTCCTATGAAATATTTTAGGAAATATTAAAAAGGCAGAATAATATAGTTCCCTAAAGGGAGAAATATGCTCTTGGAGACAGAAAGAGCCCC